AGAGGGCCCCAAGAGAGCCTCATGGGGGCCCAAGGCGCCCCCCAAAATCCCCAGGAGGACCCCCCCGAAAAAAAACACACAAGAGGGCCCCAAGATGCCCCAGAAGAGCTCCAAGAGGACCCCAATATCCCCCAATACAGCCCCGTAGCTCCAAGAAGGCCTCCGATGCTCCAAGATAGCCTCCAAGATGGCTCAACGCCCTCCTTCCTCTCCTTTCCTCCCGCGCTCTGTTTCACTAGATGTGTCTCTTCTCTCCATTTCCCAACAATTCTCATGGGCAGGGCTTCTGAATATGCTTTGGGTGTACCCTCCTCCCCCTCCTTCTTCTCCTCCTCCACCTCCTCCTCCGCCTCCTCCTCCTCATCAGCATCAGCATCAGCATCAGCATCAGCATCAGCATCAGCATCAGCATCATCATCATCATCATCATCATCATCATCATCATCATCATCATCATCATCATCATCGTCGTCGTCGTCGTCGTCGTCGTCAGCATCATCATCATCATCATCATCAGCATCATCAGCATCAGCATCAGCATCCTCATCATCATCTCATCCTCATCATCAACATCATCATCATCATCATCATCATCATCATCATCATCATCATCAGCACATCATCATCAGCACCAGCATCATCATCATCATCATCATCATCATCAATCAATCAACATCAACAGCATCATCATCTCATCATCATCATCATCATCATCATCATCACATCACATCACCATCATCACCATCATCATCATCATCATCATCGTCATCATCATCATCATCATCATCATCATCATCATCATCATCATCATCATCATCATCCCCCCTTCTTCCTCACGCTCTCCCTCATCATGTTTTCCCTGCTTGTCCTTCTCATGCTCTGCCCTCTCATCCCCAGCTCCTCGTGTTCGTCCTGGCCTCCGCCCTCATCCTCGTCATCCTCCTCGTCCTCGCCGTCTCCTCATCGTCGATAACCTCGTCCTTTTCGTCCTCGTCCTACTTGTTATGATCCTTTTCCGTGCTTTCCTCGTCCTCCTCTCACTCTTCTTCAGCCTCGCGCTCCCCTCCCTCGTCCACCTCGTTCAGTTCCAGGCCTCGTTCCCGCCCTCGCCCTCCCCCGTCCTCCTCGTCCTTGCACTCCTTCTCCTGTCTCCTCCTCGCCCTCGACCCGGGCGTCGGAGATGGACCTAACTAGGCGCCTCTTCCCCAGGGATCTAGCAGCACCACCTTATTGCCGACTCTGCCTCGCTACGCGTGCCCTTTCCTCCCCCCGCCAGCTCCCAGGAGCACCGTCTGCGGATGGGTATCGAGAAGACGCCAAGATGTGTCAAGGAGTCCTTGTCCCTGTCTTCCCAGTGGATACGTGCAGAAGCACGACCCAGAGAAAGCGCACGAGTGTATCCCAGTGGATACGTGCCAGAGCACGACCCAAAAGAAACGCACGGACAGAAAAACGTAAGCGGAAGGAGGAGAAGGTCAAGGAGGGAAGAGGACGGCGAGCACATGAGGGAAGAGGAAGGCGATTTGGAGAGCCTCAGAAAGGGACCAACATAGATGAATCCTTTCCTTTGATCGAAAGCCTCCAAGAAGGCCCCAAGAAACCCTCCAAGGATCGCAAGATGGTCAAAAGATAATCCCAACACGCACAGCCACCCACGCACGCACGCACGCACGAACGGACGGACGCAAGCACACACGTATGCACGCACGCACGCACGCACGCACCCATACACACATAAACACACCGACACACACACAAACTCTCTCTCTCTCTCTCTCTCTCTCTCTCTCTCACACGTACGCACTCTTACGAACACTTAAACACACTTACGCACACTTACGCACACATACGCACATACGCACGCACGCGCGTACGCACGCACGCACGCACGCACGCACGCACGCACGCACGCACGCACGCACGCACGCAAGCAAGCAAGCAAGCAAGCAAGCAAGCAAGCAAGCAAGCAAGCAAGCACACACACACACACACGCACACACACACACACACTTTTTCATGCACACACAAAAGAGCCCCCAAACCCGAAGAGGGCCCCAACGCAGCCGCGTTGGAACCTCCATGGGACTCCAAGATCGATGCCACAATCCTCGCCCTCGTTTTCCCCCTTCTCCTCATCGTTTTCGTCCGCGCCATCCTCGTCCTCCTCGTCCTCGTCCTCGTCCTCCTCCTCCTCCCCCATCGACGCTTTCCCACGTCGTCATCTGTCTCGCCATCGTCCTCCTCGACCTCCTCGTCCTCGTCCTCGTCTTCGTTCTCATTTTCGGTATCGCCGTCGTCGGTTTCGTGTCCTTCATCCTCATCCTCCTCATCCTTCTCCTCCTCGCCCTGCTCCATATCCTCATAAGATGGCCCCATGGGTCCTCGCCCCCGTTGTTCTCATCCTCCTCCTCATCCTCGCCCTTGTTTTTGCCCTCATCGTCTTCCTCGTCATGTTCCTCCTCTTCCTTGTCGTCGTGGTCATCGTCGTCGTCTGCATCCTCCTCCTCCTCCCCTCGCTCCCGCGCGGGACGTTGGGATGGCCCGAAGAGGCCCTCCAAGGCCACCTCTTTGCTCCATGAGATCTCTATTGTTCACCCTGGTTGCCAGCTTTGTTTCGCTATCGGTCTCTTCGTCCCTTGTTTCCCGTCAACTCTCATGGGCAAGGCTCCTGGATGGGCTGGTGGGAAGCCGCGAAGCGTAAACACTTTATGGGCTGTCACCTCCACCGTTCGCGCAACCATCCCACCCGCCCACCTGCAACTTGGTTTGCAAAACCCATGCGGCGGCGAGGGCGATGAATGCTTGGAGTTGGCAAATGCATCTCTGCGGCCGCGCTAGCCCGCGCATGTTCGCGCGGGCAGCTGCCAGCTACTGCGGCGCGACCGACGCGGCCGCGGTGGCGCTGACAGCTGGGCACTTCCCAGCGGGCACTTCAATGCGAGTCGGTCATCATGGCAATGCCTACGGCAATGCCAATGACGGCGCCGATGTTGCTCACGCCTGCCGACAACGATGACGTTGTCTTCGCGTCGGTGATGAAGACTGTGGGAAGAGTTCAACATGCGCGCGCGGCCGACGCGCGCGAGTGGCCCGCGTGGCATTATTTTACACAGATCGTGCCCCGCCCAGCACGCGCGCAAGGGCGTTCGGATGAGTTCGACATGCGGAGCGACAGGCCCGTTTGGCAGAAATTGATGTCAATGTTGAAAACCATGGTTTCCAGAAGAACTCGCAAGATCGCACGCGTCGAACATTCACTGATGTTTCAAAGCCACGTATTTTCTACAGATGTTCGGGAAACTCGATTTTGAAATCGTTACGAAACCACAGGTTATTCTTGGATTTCGGCAAGGCGCGGGTGTGCACGTCGTCCCGTTGTCTGCAAGGGGTTCTTGAAAACTGATAGTTTGCGATAAACGAGTGCGCGTTCATGGCATTTGTTGCAGAGGGCGAGGGGGGCGATACCGACCTGCCTGGGATGGTATGAATATCTAGAACGGACGAGGGGGCAAGATCACTCGTGAAGTGCAATGCGGTAAAGGGGGCCGTTAATTCCGGGGAGGGGAGATCCTATTACTTTCTAAGGCGGGGGATACAAGTGCGCCGACGGCGGCAACAAGGCGGCGGACCCGACAAACGAGACCAGACGGCGGGCGGCGACGAAGCGCGGCGACGGCGGCAACAAGGCGGCAGACCCGACAAACGAGCCCAGACGAAGGGCGGCGACGAGGCGGCGACGGCGGCAACCGGGAGGGGGACCCGACAAACGAGCCCAGTTCAGTAGGAGACGAAAAAGAGCCCCTCAGTGCAAGCACTGCTTGGGGGAATGTGCGTTGCGTTGCTGTGCTCTTTTGTTTGGTCTCTTGGCTTGGTTATTTCCGTGGCCTGCCCGCGGCCCTCCGTCGCAATGCCAGCCCAGACAGCGTTCATGCTCCATGAACAGACCCACGTAATCACAGCGTTCCTTCCTGGGGAAGAGAAAAGGATGGGGAGGGGGCAGAGGAGTGGGAGGAAGGGGGGGGGAAGAGCGGGGAAGAGAGGGAGGGAGGGAGGTGGACTTCCTTTGGAATTCGATGGGCGCTACAATCTACGCCGCAGAACCGCTTGCCACAACACTCCAGGAGGGCGCGCTGCTCCAAGGGTATCAATCCGTCACACCCTGGAGATGTGCGCTTCCAATACCGAGGGGAGGAGGAGAGAAGGAGCGGGAAGTAGGAACATACAGATGGGGCAGGCGGATGGCGAAGAGAGTCGAATAACAAAAACTGCATAAGCATAAACTGTCGGAGATCCGCGCGGATTCCGCGGGTCGGCGCTGGAGCCCCCTTGTCCTTGCGCACAAAGCGGGGGTCCAGCGCCCGGACCACAGAGAATGTATGATTGTGCCCGTGTTCGTTACTCGGGAGAGGCGAGGGGAGGGTCAGTCGGGGGTTGTGCTGACAAAATCGTCGCCGTCAATCATTAGTTGATCGCTTGGTCGAAATATGCACGTGTGAAGGGATCCAAAAACCCTGAACCAAAAAACCTTGCCATCTCTTCGGGAGGCGATGGTTGCTTCCGCCAGCCTTCCACCGGCGGAGGCGGCCTCGTCTTACGTCCGCAGGCTCTTGCCGGCGTTCCGCCGAGGAAGAGACACGTATCAACTCCCTCGATCCTCGAAGGCGAGGCCTTTTCTGGAATGCCTCATGTATGTACGCATACACGTATACCACGACATTCGAGTGCATTTCTCATTCGCGTCGTTAACGGCCGTCATTGGGGGGGAGAAGGGGGGGGGCGGAGGAGCATAACGTAACGCCCCCCCCCCCCCCCCCCGCGCGCTGCGTGAGTCTGGAACTACCGTCTGTGGTGCCAAACGTACTGCGGCAGTGCAAGGGACGCACTGGGGCAGGGGGGGAGCGTCACGTTGTGCGGGGGGAGGGAGGGGGCATAACGCGCGTATGGCTCAGAGGGTAAAAAACATTCTCAAGGGCGGCGAAGAGGAGACCCCCCCCGCCCGCCCGCACAACCACGCGTGGCCAGGGCTGGCGAAGTCTGAGGCCAAGGCCGCGTCCCGCTCGCCGCCGCGCACGGAGCAGCCCGCTGAATACGGAAGCAAGGATCGACCTGCGCGGCGCCAGCGACCCTCTCCCGGCCAGACTTCGGCGGATTGAATATTTCTCGGCGGGAGCCCGGGGGGGGAGTCAGAGGGGGCAGGCCTTCCAGGCGGCGGGGATTCTCAGAAGCCCTCGCGCCTTCTGAGAATTCCCAACCATCCTGTGGTGTTGGGTCCTCGATTTGAAGAGACAGCGCCCCGCGTTCACTCCTCCTCCTCCTCCTCCTCCCGCTGCCCCCATCCCTACTCCTCTCATCATGCTGATGATTATGATGATGATGATCATCATCATCATCATCAGCAGCAGCAGCATCAGCATCAGCATCAACATCATCATCATATTCACCATCATACTCATCGTCATCATCATACTCATCGTTATCATCATCATCATCATCACCATCACCATCACCATCACCATCACCATCACCATCATCATCATCATCATCATCATCATCATCATCATCATCATCATCATCATCATCATCATCATCAGCATCAGCATCAGCATCAGCATCAGCATCATCACCATCATCACCATCAGCATCACCATCACCATCATCATCATCAGCATCACCATCACCCACCACCACCACCACCACCATCACCATCACCATCACCATCACCATCACCATCACCATCATCATCATCAGCATCACCACCACCACACACCACCACCACCACCACCACCATCACCATCACCATCATCATCAGCATCATCATCACCATCACCATCACCATCATCATCAGCATCAGCATCAGCATCATCATCAATCTCAACATCATCATCATCATCATCATCATCATCATCAGCATCAGCATCAGCATCATCAGCATCAGCAGCATCATCATCATCATCATCATCATCTCATCGCCTCTGCCCACCGCATGTCTCTGTTTCGGCGCACCCAGCACAGCGCTTCGTGACCCCATAGGGAGCTCCACCGAAGGCCCCAGTGGCAGGATTCGCATGGCGGCCCCAGGCCACTTCGGCACACCCCTGACGAGGATCGTGGCCCCATAGGAGCTCCACCGAAGGCGCCAGTGGCAGGGTTCGCATCATGGCGGCCTCGGGCCACTTCGGCACACCCCTCACGAGGGGATCGTGGCCCCACAGGAAGCTCCACCGAGGGCGCCAATGGCAGGGTTCGCATGGCGGCCTCGGGCCATTTGGGCACACCCCTCACGAGGATCGTGGCCCCATAGGAGCTCCACCCAAAGCGCCAGTGGCAGGGTTCGCATGGCGACCACGCCCCATTTCGGCACACCTCTCACACGGCTCGTGGCCTAATAGGGAGCTCCACAGAAAGAGTCAGTGGCAGGGTTCGCATGGCGACCTCGGGCCATCTCGGCACACCCCTCACGAGGATCGTGGCCCCATAGAGAACTCCACCGAAGAAGCCAGTGGCAGGGTTCGCATGGCGGCGCTCCCCCATTTCCCCACACCCCTCACGAGGATCGTGGCCCCGTGGGGAGCTTAACCGAGGGCGCCAGTGGCAAGGTTCGCATGGCGATCACGCCCCATTTCGGCGCACCCCTCACGAGGATCGTGGCCTCAGAGGGAGCTCCACCGAGGGCACCAGCGGTAGGGTTCGTGTGGCGCCGCCCCATTTGGGCACACCCCTCACGCGGTTCGTGGCCCCATAGGGAGCTCCACCGAGGGCGCCAGTGGCAGGGTTCGCATGGCGACCCCGCCCCATTTTGGCACACGTTTCACACGGTTCGTGGCCTCAGAGGAAGCTCCACAGAAGGCGCTAGTGGCAAGGTTCGCATGGCGGCCTCGGGCCATTTCGGCACACCCCTCACGCGGATCGTGGCCCCATAGGAAGCTCCACCGAAGACGCTAGTGGCAGGGTTCGCATGGCGGCCCCGCCCCATTTCGGCACACCCCTCACGAGGATCGTGGCCCCGTGGAGAGCTTCACCGCGGGCGCCAGTGGCAGAGTTCGCATGGCGGCCCCGCCCCATTTCGGCCTCTCTCCCACGGTTCGTGGCGTCATTGGGAGCCCCACAGAAGGCGCCAGTGGCAAGGTTCGCATCCCCCCCAGTACAGCGTTTCGTGGCCCCAGCGGGAGCTCCACCGAAGGCCCCAGTGGCACCGCCCGCATGCGTCACCCCCACACAGTACAGCGCTTCGTGGCCCCAGATGGAGCTCCATCGAAGGCCCCAGCGGCACCGCCCGCATGCGTCACCCCCACCCAGTACAGCGTTTAAGGAGCTCACCGAAGGCCCCAGCGGTACCGCCGGCATGCGTCATCCCTCACCCAGTACAGCGTTTCGTGGCCCCATAGGGAGCTCCACTGAAGGCCCCAGTGGCACCGCCCGCATGCGTCACCCACACCGTACAGCGCTTCGTGGCCCCTTAGATAGCTCCACCGAAGGCCACCGTGGCACCGCCCGCATGCGTCATCCCCCACCCAGTACCCAGTACAGCGTTTCGTTGCCCCATAGGGGGCTTCACCGAAGGCCACAGTGGCACCACCCGCATGCGTCACCCCCACCAAGTATAGCGCTTCGTGGCCCCATGGGGGGCTCCACCGAAGGCCCCAGCATGCGTCACCCCCACCCAGTACAGCGCTTCGTGGCTCCATAGGGAGCTCCACCGAAGGCCCCAGCGGCACCGCCCGCATGCGTCACCCCCATCCAGTACAGCGCTTCGTGGCCCCAGCGGGAGCTCCACCGAAGGCCCCAGCGGCACCGCCCGCATGCGTCATCCCCAGTCAGTGCAGCGCTTCGTGGCCCCATAGGGGGCTTCACCGAAGGCCCCGGTGGCACCGCCCGCATGCGTCATCCCCCACCCAGTACAGCGTTTCGTGGCCCCATAGGAAGCTCCACCGAAGGCCCCAGTGGCACCGCCCGCATGCGTCACACCCCACCCAGTACAGCGCTTCGTGGCCCCATAGGGAGCTCAACGGGAGCCCCCAATGGATGCACTCGCATGCGTCACCCCCGACCAATGCAACGTTTCGTGGCCCCATGGGAGCTCCAACGAAGGCCTCAGTGGCGGTGTTCGCATGCATTCCCCCCACCCAGCACAACGCTCCGTGGCCTCATGGGTAGCTGCACCGAAGGCCCCGCCGGTGGCTGTACTCGCATGCGTTTCCCCACCCATTGCATTGTTTCGTTGCCCCATAGGAGCTCCACCGAAGGCCCCAGTGGCGGCCCCGCCCCACTGCGGCGCACCCCTCACACTTCCCCGTAGCGCGGTCCGCCTAACACACCTGTGGCAGCGCCTACATGCGCCCCACATCGGCACACCCTTCGCATGCTGCATGGCCCCGTGAGGAGATCCCCCGAAGGCGATACCCGCAACGACGGTACTCACAACTGCATATGGTTGGGTTCTTCGCCAGGTCTTCGGGGAAAGCTTCGAAAACTTTTCAGAAGGCCCGAGGCCTTCCGAGTCTTCTGAGAAGGCCTGCCTCCTCTCATTTCCCCCCTGGGCTCGCCGCCGAATTTCAATTTCGGCGTTTTGTGACAACATCGGGCTCCGGGGGCAGTTTTCGGGGCCCGAGGCCATGAAACATTGATCTGAAACGAACAACTGTCCCTGGGGAAGGGGTCGGGACCTTTTGGGACCAGAAAATAAATAAATCCGTCGAATATCAAATGCACCCCGCCCGAGCCCCCCCAGCGGGCCCCGGCGTCGCAGTGGGGGTCCGGGGCGGTTGGGGGCGTGGGTGAGGGCGACCGCAAGTCACATATACAGTACGTAATGCGTGCACCCAGGCTAGACTGCGTAACACACATATCATTGTCATAACACTGCAATTGGTCAAGTTTCAGGGGGATCCAAACAAGTAGGCTTACAGCTCATACGCACTTCAGGGTGCAAGAATCAAAGTCGCCGATATGTTGATGATTAGTGCAAGCCATTCGTAGCTCCCTCTGGGCGGAAAATACGCCCTGGGAGTGGCCCAGCCTAGGCTGAACTTTGGTGCGCACCCGAAGAATGCACCCGAGCTGGCCCTTTACTCCCAACATGTTGCGCATTGTGATCCCTACTCTGCCACAGTGGTGCGTTCTCACGTCGCCGTGCTGATGGGCGCCCCGACCAGCCTGGAAACTGTCTGGCAAATCGCGTCGGGCGCCTGTCAACCTTGGAAGCGTCCTGGCACGAGAGGGCGCCCCAGACACCCTTGAAGCTCAATGGCAAGTTTGGTAGCAACTCATGGGAGCCTCCCATACCATGTTGTCGGCACTTGCGAATCGACGCTAACCGACGTCAGTCGACGCTAAACTGGCGTACATCATCGTTTACCAGACGCTAACCGACGCTAATGCGCTGTAAAAGCGGAATTGAGAGGGAATGCAAGGCCTCTCATTATTAAAAACCGAAAACAAATACTGGGAAACCAAAGGGTACCCACCCATACCGCTACTCACCGGGCCTCTCCCGGCGTGCGTTCTGACCGAAATTTCGAGGCCAATCCAGCGGTGGAGACGAGGGCCTCCCAAAGCCCGAAAAAGTGAAAACGAGGCAAAGATTAGCGGCATCGGCACCTGTCCCTCATCTGAAATACTTTGGGCTCCTCGTCCCAACTCTCGAGTTAGCTCGGGAATCGTACTACCTACCCGTGCGCATCTCGGGCACAGACAACAGGAGTGCGGAAATTAGCCTGACGAAAGACCCAACCATATGAGGCCACGAACTGTGTGAGGGGTGCGCCAAAATGAGGCGGCACCGCATTGCGGACCCTGCCACTGGGGCCTTCGGTGGAGCTCCCCATGGGGTCGCGAACCGTGTGAAAGGTGCCCCGAAATGTGGCGGCGCCGCCATGTGGACCCTGTCACTGGGGCCTTCGGTGGAGCTCTCTATGGGGCCACGAACCGTGTAAAGGGTGCGCCAATGGGGTGGCGCCGCCATGTGGACCCTGCCACTGGGGCCTTCGGTGGAGCTCCCTACAGGGCCACGAACTGTGTGAGGGGTGTGCCAAAATGGGTGCGGCGCCGCCATGTGGACCCTGCCAATGGGGCCTTCGGTGGAGCTCCCCATGGGGACACGAACCGTT